AAGGTGAAGGACGATCCCCCAACTGGGAGTGGCATAAAATTCACCGAATTTCTTGAGGTCCCGTAGGGGAAGTTCTTCTCTTTTATCGATATTGATAAGATCAAAGTAGATTCCCATTGTGATTTAGCAACTTCGTGGTTGGAGATGGGAAATAAGATGGGATCAAGTTCGGTCAACCCTGTTCTGCCAGCCCACCCGATCCATTTTGCCACAAGCCTGTAATGGACCTCATTTTCGACAGTCATTACTCAACATAAGCCTAGATTATTTCCGAGTGAAGCAGATAGAAGGAAACACAAGTTTCCTGTGTATCCATAATTTGTGGCAACGCCGCCTCACTACTCAGATAGAACCAAGCATAGAATTCAGAAAATTTACTATGAATTTAGAAAACAACGAAAAAAATGGACTAAATTTGCACTGCAAGTCCTACTTTGAAGAGATCTGAAGCTCATTCAGAGGGCGAGCCTTGCATTCGCGTGGCACGAAGTGAGCCTAAACCTGGAACACTGGGCCCCTTGATACACTCGATGATATATTTAGTCGTTAAGTAAAATATTATTGTGATTCCCCTAGAGATGAGTCGAGGAAGCGGTTTACACTCTTGGCTGGGATAAGAGTCAAAAACCCGGCAAAGGCACGATACCAAGCAAATGCGTAAATGTCACCAATATGAACTCCTTCATTTGTGGCGGTTGTTCGACGGCTTCTACACGAGAAATCCGAACACGCAGTCGACATGTCCCTCAGCTGAATGGGCGTCATGCTCTTTGTTTCATTGACCATATTTGGGCCGCTGGTATTATAGCTGCCCTTTCATTCCTCATAAGAACATGGAAGAAAATATGTGAAATATCTTTTATTAGCCACGGTTCTCCTATTTCATAAACACGATAGTGATGATTTGGCAAATTTGTCATTATTCATCATTATTCGTCCATTAGCGTATCTTTGCTTCTGTTAAACTCACTGTAAGGAATAACCTCATTCCCACTCAACCCTGTGTCGTAACATTGTCTGACTCGATAAGTCCAAGTGACGATTATTCAAGCCTACTGACGCAGTTTCGTGGTTAACATCGACTGAGATTCATTCCAAATATGCGCGCCTTCTCGGTATTCAAGCGCAGAATCCTCATCTAGACTAGCTGTTATGTACTTTGACTGATATTTGCGAAGCATGAGAAGACTCAGGGACTAAGGAGCAAAGAGCGATCTTCAGTATATGTATTAGCATGTATTATAGGGCAGGAGAAGGAGAGTCACGAGCTCCGGAAGCACCTGGATTGGTCGCTTTGTTTTCACTTGCTGCATCACCTTTCGTTGCGGCCTCTCGTAACATCGCATCATCCCTCTTGATGAGGAACTCTTGTCCTTCGAATACCTCTTGAACAAATTTGGGGGATCGATCTGGAATCCATGTTCTTACGTCAAGTACTAGGTACTCGACGACTGGGCGGGTAACCTTGCGAGTAACGATCGAGGTCTCGTGTTGCAACTTTCCCCTCGAAAAGCGTTCTGACACCACCATGGACTTTATGATAAAGAAGAGTCAGTTTGGTACCACATAGCTTATGCTCAACTAACTTGCAGAGACTCGAATTTAACGAGCATATTGGCATAGAGCCGTTCCCCGGGAACCAGAGAGCGATTGAACCGAGACAAGATGTCATCCGAGCGGATAGAGATACATTGTGGGTCTTGAATCCATTTCTCAAATTGCCATTGATAGTTGGTTTTGTGCTTCTTGTCCGCAACTTGCCTAGCTCGCTTTGCTACAGTTGCAAGATATTTCTTTCCAGCATACTGCGGTAAAGTCGTGGTATCACCTCTATCGAAGACACAGCTTAGTGATGAATAGGACATTGCGCCGGGTGTTTAAATGCTCACCGAGCGACAGCCGCTGTCATCTTAATATAGGCATCAGCAGCACTTCGTAAAGTGGGATATAATGGCGAGTCTTTAGAAGAAAGATCATTGAAGAGCCTGTTTTCCTCCTTCCTCTGCTTTCTTTGTCTCCATAGGTTGAGCGTGAAAAGTCCTCTATCGGCCAACTTGCTATATTTGAAGTTATAGTCGGGAAATAGCTGAAAGCTCGCTAGTTGAGACATCCTACATCGAGATAATGATCAGGCTCAAGCTCGGTATATCAACATATCAGGGCCTTACGCTAAAAAGTTGGAACGATCGTTCTCCACTCGTTGAAGGTATGCGGCTCTGGCGGCTGGGCCGTTTGTGGCGGCATCAACGATATAACGAGCGGGAACTACAATGGGCTTTTGTAATACTCTCTTGATAGCATTGAGAGACCAATATCTTGGGAGTAATAATCGTGAGCCATTGTTTGCGATGAATCGAAATGGACTTGTTAGCCAGTGCAGGAGGCCCTATAATTTTGCGATCAGCCAATGAAAACGATAACAAATGTGAAGAGTACCATCAGCACTTGTCGAGGAAGTTTGGCC